TTTTATATATCCGGAAAACTGTTCAAGTTTCCAAAAAAATCCAATTTTTAGTAACATGATCATAATCTGTAAAAGGCTTGTATTGGATTAGAGAACAAAAACAGTCGATTTACAATTTTTCGATTAAAACAGAGTAAAGAATATGAAAATACTTTTGTATAATAGTTGAAGAAAATAAGCTGGCTGGGAGCAACCTGAAAAAAGTTTAAATCCCGGTAAAATTGAAATTTTAGTCCCGATCTCGGTTCCGATCCTGCCAGGACCGGAACCACTTTGCAGGCCCCTAACTATAAGATGTATTACATGACTATTGTAATAAGTTTTCTGGTTTTCTTGTGAAATAATATGAGAGTTTACTTTTATCTGATATTTGCCACATATATGAAAACCTAACTATTCAATCATAAGCAAATCGAATAGATATCAAAGCAACGAAAGCTGATCGAAAGTTTCCTGATGTAGCAGAAAAATAATAGAAATAATGATCCTTGTTTTTCTCAAATCATGTAATGCTAATCGACCTTAAATTTGACAAAGATAGATGTCAGAGATATATGATGAAAGGAGATCATTGGAAGAAAATAAAACAAGTCTCATAATGCATAAACATTCTTCAAATAACCATCAGAATACGGATTATTAAGGGAAGCAATAATTTTTTATTGCTACCCCTCATTTTCTGCAGGGGAAGCAATTGCTTCCTCTCGCTACTATGATGTGCCGCCTATGGTCATATTCACCTTTGAATTAATTATTTAGTCTTCAACACATTTCAGGTAAATACTTATTTTCATTAGATGTAAGAAGCTCATATTAGTATGCTGATTTAAAATAACTATTCTATGTAAAAAGAAATTGGTTTAAATATTTCACTCGTGAAAATCATAGATTATCAATAGATAAATTTGAAATGTCAAAATTTACAGTTTTAGAAAATATACATTATCTTTCAAAATTCTGACCGAAATCCTTGAAAACATTTTTTGTTTCAATTTAAAATTTTTGGGTAGGACGTTTGGGATGCCTTGTAAATTGATCAATCATTGTTTTCTCGACATGCTTGATAATTATGAGCAGAAGTTTTCATCCAAAGCATTTCAGTTGTTAAAAATGTTTGATTAATCACCAAAAACGTGTTGAAAATTTGTTGACCTAAAGCTGTTTTAACGCTTTTTTGACGATTAATCAAAAAAAAAAATGTTCACAGCTTTTACAAACCGAGATGTTTTAATGTCGCTTTGTCGGTTATTGTGTCTGCCTGGGTTTTGTACCGAATTTTAAGTGCTCCCCTGCGATTAACGAAGCGTTTCAATTCAATGAACAATAGAGAAAAATATTAACAATTCAATTTATCCTGCACCATTCGTTCTATGTTCTACTGTCCAAATAAATTATTTCTCAGTAGTTTTTTGTCTTTTTTCAATTTCTCGGCTATGAGCTGAGACAATAGATGAAAAATTATTTTTATTGGATTGTCATTATCAGATTTGAAATCTGATATTGTTTTTTTCTATCTAGAAATCGCAGAATCAGTTTGTTTATCATGTTTTTGACTATTTGTCTGGTATGATACTAAAATTCTTTACAAAGATACTTGATAAACATTGATCTGTTGTACTTTCTCACAATAAATTCATCAATTTCTCTGACTTAAATCTGTAATTCCATTATTTCAATAAACTTGTCTTTTTGTCATTGATTTAGCATAGTATCTGAACATTTTGAGCCAATCTCATGAGTAAAGATATCGGCGAAGAATGAATTCTGCATGCGGTAGCATGCTATTGTATCTAAGTACGTCAGATGCACTCAAACAGTTCTTCATCTTTTAAAATATTAATCATTATAAGCCAAAGAAGAAGAAAATATGTAGCACAGTGTGTGACATAAGTTCATACGTTGCAACTTTGTAAAAGATAGATTCAGGCACAGACTGCTTGACATAGCGGAAAATTAGTTTCGTTTTATCTCACCTCCTGCCGATTTTCTAGCATTCATATCGTCTCGTCGTTTTAAGACTACCCAGGATTCTATTATGCTTTTCTTCACTTTGTGAGAACATTCGTGCCATTTAGTTCCGTGAAAATTTTCAAAGCATTTCATTTATCTTTTTTTTTCAATATGTGCACAATCTCAGTATATTCAACTGCTGATCTATATTTATCTCTCTTGTAGTTTTACGAAGAGTAAAATATTCTGACATTTTTTGTGTTGTCGTAAACTAAGTATGATCTATTTGTTATAAGAACTTGTATTTCTTCTAATATTTTCCAATTGAGTTAATACTCATATGTTGCTGTATAATACTATCATTATTCTACTATTACGATTGTATCTATTATTAAAAAACCTCAATCGTTAAATGTCATCGTCGTTTAGGATGCTAAGAATCACTAGAACATTCCAATCATTAATCAATGTCATAATGTTATGATAATATCCAACATTAGACATGATGTAGTTTACATGTTTAATCTCAAACGTCACTTATCATCAACTAATGGTGCATTGTTTTTGGTAATTTTACTTGGAGCTCACTTACATTTGAAAAACATTTTCATGACATATTACCATTATATCAAACAATATTTCATCGAATAATTTGAATCTGATCACGATATTAATGTAATATATGTGAGAGCATACAAGAATGTATGGATGACACGGATGAAGAAAATTATGAATAACGAGCACTTCATGAATGTGATTAAGTGAGATTTATTGTTAGAAGCGCCCATATGAGTATTGTATGTATCAGTCTTTGTAACCCCGTCAGAAGGGAATTGTGTGTCACAGCGTTTTGAGCAATACTCATTGTAGAATGCTTTGAATTTCCTAACATGCCGTTGAATTTTCAATTTCTGAAGGGTAGATTAATTACTGATTCTACTAGTACTATTAATGCACGTTGTCTATTGAAAATTTTGAAATATTCATTCCACTATTTGTATACATTATCATGTTCGATATCAGCGTTATTGTTAGAAAATTATTATTATAACTTGCTCTATTTTATGAAGAGCTATGAGGTAAAACGATATTTCAAAAATAGCTTCTTGCATCAAAGTTAAGATGTTGAGGAAATTTTATAACAAATATGAATATGACGCATTTTTTTTTAACAATTACACTTTCTTGAGAAAAAAATGCATTTAATGGAACTCTCAGAGCATTTTATAATAGAAATCGATTTTATTTCTTACAGTGACAAGCACAATCCTTCACATATTATCTAGAAAAAAAAGCTGATCCCACAGTTCTTCCAAGGATTCACAGATTGAAATGCTTATGAAATAACTAGCAGCTATCGATACATTGTCATAATGAATTTCCTTTTTTTTGCATTCTTCCAAAAAAAAGAAAATAATTTAATTAAGGCTCAATTAGATTTTGTCTTTCTAATATCTTTATTATAATCTTGAAAAGATCACTCATATTTTAATCGAAAGTTTAAATTCGTGACAAATTAACAGTAAATAAAAGAGCTCTTATATAGCTCATTATCATTGTTTTAACCTGAGGATTTTATGCGTAAATATTTACTTTTATCTTTAGTTTTTTTTTAATTTTAACAAACAAAACTCATTGAAGAACATTTTTTTATCTTCTACAAAGCTTTTCCTTCTAACTTCCTATTGTTCATCAATAACACGCAAGCGTCATTTATTTAATAAAAATCCCAAGACACGTCTTTTTGTACTTATATTTGAAGTACAATAATGATCAGGAAAATGCGTAGTTCTCCAATGTTGAAAAACACAATGAATGTAATTCATAGAACGATCCATTACACATTATATTACATTGACAATAATTACATAAAGAGAACATTCAGCTATAATAAAATGAAATAACAATTTATGATGTTTTATCTTTATTCTACTCTAGTAAATACAATTTACATAAAAATTCTCTTTTTTTATTCTTCCTCACAACAAGTTTTTTATGACCATGTATATGTCTAAAATGATCAAATATATATATATATTTCACAATATAGAAAATTTGAATACAGTAGAAATTCAATAAAAACAGCAAGTAATTATATTTCCGGTGAAAATATACTTGAAAATACTTGATTGTACTTAACCATCAATGATCATACAACACAATATTCTGGTTTTATTCAATAAAATCGTTTTTTTAATCACTATTATTTCGAGAACTTCCTTTCTGCACCTATAGAATCATGAATAAAAGTTTGTATATATACATATGTTTATTAGTTTTAGAAAAAAAAATAGTTTGATTCATTTCTGCTTCACTAATTCATTTAGTGTCAATTTTTTCATTGTGTATGACATTTACTTGAAAGTCTTTATCTTTTTTTTTCCTTACTTAAGTAAAAGTCAACACTATTATTGAAAGTGACGGATCAGACACATCTAAATATATATATATAAATATATATATAGCTTTTTTTATGGTATTTCGAATAATACTCAAACAAAATTTACTGCTATTTATTATAACATGTTTCACTTCTCAAATCATGTAGGAGTGAAGTGAGTAGATATAGATAAAGAGAAAAGAGTAATGTCCCATTGAATAAAAACTAATGTCGTGTGTAATCGTTAGCATAAGTATTTACGAAAACGAGACATAAATAACAAATACTTCAATAGAACATGTGCGGTGAGTAAGTAGAAATGAGAAAACATAGAAGAAGAAGCACAAAAGTACTACAACTGATTCAATCTAAAACATTAGCTTTCTTTCTCTCTGTCTTTCTTTCACTTATTCAAACTTCTTCTCTTTCTCTCGTTGCTGACATCTTTCTTGTCGTTTCTTCTGCAATGTTGTCTTGCTGGTGATCAGTCTTAATTGTGTCTGGCTCTCTTCTTCTCTTTTAGATCGTCAGAATTTTCCATTAAACACACATAGTCAAACACGCAAGAAAATATTTTGCATAGTCGTTGAACACTCTACAATTACTTTAAACGATTCTATTATATTGTCTAACACAGACATTATTGCATCAGTTTATGAAATCAAAAACTATGGCAAATGGTTGTTGTACTAATACATTATGTGCTGATCGAGAAACACAATTACGTTTAGCTCGTCTTCGTGAAGAATTATTAACAAATTTTAATAGTCTTCTATTAGATCGAATTCGTTTTCTTGAACAAACAATTAATCGTTTATCATCATCACCATCAATACCAGTAGCAACAACATTAACATCTACACATACAAGTTCAACGTCAGCATCTACAACTACAGATCGACTTTCAACACCAGCACTACTTCGACGTAGTTCATCAACAACAACAACATATGTTCTTCTAAGTCCAACTAATCCAAATTCAGCCAATAGCGGAGCAAGTGCTCGATCTTGTCCATCTAGTGTTGATTTAACAACGAGTGATCGACGAACAAGATTTTTTTCATCAAAAAAACATTCACAATCACAAGCAAGACAATCATCTGAAAGTAATAGCAATTATTTATCTATACCTATGGATGCACAATGGTCTATGGTAACTAATGATCTGGTATCTAATACTAATGTTAGTAATGAGAAAGGCCGATTAGAATCAAGACGTTTTGCGTGTGATGTTGACGATAATGAAGTGCGTGCATTCAAAGCCATGATGTATATGGAACAAGCCCGGAAACAACATGCACGACCACTAACTCGTTTACGACAAGCATTGGGTATATCGACTAATTCTAGCACAGGAAGTTATGCATTAAATAGTTCTAAAAAACATTCGAATGCTTAAACTAATTACATTGATTCATTTTTTAATTACTGTATAGTTATTTTGATGTTTTGATTTTTAAAAGACAACAAAAAAAAAATTATAAAATTCAAGATTTATTGAACTTGCCTTTTTCTTTTTCTTTTTTTGATTAAATTTAAAAAAAAACAAATCTCTATATTTACAATGTGATTTTTTTATTTGTATAATAAAGATAAAAAGAATGTTTTTCAATTTCAAAAATTTCTAATAGTAGAATCTTATCAATCATTAAAGAATTGATAATTATATACTTCAATGAAGTTATATTAACCTGAATACAATATAATTTATTCACTGTTACTTTAGATATAGTCAGTTCCATTTATTTCAACTTTTTTCGGTATGACTTGAATATTTTTAATTATCTTCGTATTAGATATGGATAATTAAAGCCTATAATTATTTTTGTTCATGATAATAAGATACCATATCAAACTTGAATGAAAATTACTCTTTCAAATCAGCATTATTGATTACGTTAATGTCAATCTATCATAAAAAAGATATAATACAAATTATAGTATCGGATGAGGCATAATGATTGCAATGTTTAATATTTTGTAAATATGTCAAAACAAATAAATCGTATAATCTTGAGTTTACTTTTGAACGATGCATTGAAAAATTCTTTATAAGAATGATAATAGCAAAACGTAAAGACCTTTGCGATACCGTTCTATTGCCCATATATACGAAATAATCAATGTTCTTTTCATTTTCAGTTCTCTCAAAATAGTGAAACATTAACTTAATAGGATTATTCATTACCATTCTTATAGAGAATTTCGCGATGTATCTTTTTTAAAACAAAATCAAGATTATACAATCTTTCTATGTTGATATATTTGTAATATACTAGATGTTACAATCATTATGACTCATCTGATAACACTATGTTGATCTCAGAGAAAACAAATTCAATATTGATAATTAAAATCAATATATACCAAAGAAGTTATCCCAATCAATGTGTTTTTCTTGTCACAGAATAATAATAATAGTAAACAGGATTAATTTAAGTAAATTGATTGCAAAACTATAAAGAGACCTCAACTATAGATTTATTGAACGTACAAAATGAAACAGAAATTTTTTGAAAATTTCTATATTTGAATTATGAAAACGAGAATATTTGTTTAGATTCGTTTCGATTTCACTCATCTTAGTCATCATATGTCATATTTGCTGTTGTTTTTTTTTCTGACAGAAAAAATATTTGTATATAGTATTATATTATTATACTTATGTCATATGTATGATTCGTACAGTAACGATTTTTTTTCGATATTTAGTTAACCAACAAGAAACTATATTGTAATGACAACGTTTGTTTTTTAAATTTATCCATCGTTGCGTATAATACATAAGTAAGTCTTATACTAGTCTAATTTATATTCTCTCGCACTTATTTAACATCATCTTCAGAGTTG